ATGCTGGATTTGCTCTGTGATGTTTAGATTTTACTCTTTAGCTACTGTCAAAGGACAAAATTACACCAATTTAGCTTAATAGTTTTAATTAGCTTTATTTTCTATTCTAGAGTCAGGCAACATTTCATTCCATGAAATAAAATAAGCATTTGGAGGCACTGGGCAGAAGAGATTGGTTTTATAGACAGAGAAAAGCTGAAGAGAGCAAAAATAAAAGAACTAAAAGCAGATTGGTCATTTCAAAGTCACTTTCCTTCTAAAGTGAGAATAGGGAGACAGAAAAACTCTTTTTAGGAATCTAAAATTCTCCACTTCCCATTCCCTTTCCATCATTGAAGCAACATATTTTTTGTTGTACAAATTCTTTGGAGTGCAGAATTAATGGTGTAGGCAGATGGCACGACAGGTCAGACTGCATTAGGGCCATTCTCGATGACTTCCTAGATGTGCACAGCCCCTTGCTGGGTTTTGGTCTCTGCTTTTCTCTGCCTCCTCTCTCCTACTAGCTTCCTCTGTGTAAGTTCTCTGAACTATCAGGAGCAGTGTGCTCGTCTCCAGAGCCTGCCATCACCAGGATAACAGGGTTTAAGGGATCATAAAATCCCTTAGTACAAATTCTTCATCTGACTAGTTTAACTCAATTTATAGCTTGACACTTTCAGTAGCGCTAAAATGTTTAACCTTTATATCACCACCAAGCCGAAAGATACATTTTCCAGCTTCCCTTGAATCTTGGTATAGCCCTGAGGCTAACTCCTGTGCAATGACAAATAAGCAAAATGGTTATGGGAATCTTCTGGGCCTTTTCCTTGAGAGAATGGGCATGAGGATGTGATGGCTAGAGTCCTACAGCCATCAGGGACCACAAGCACAATAGCTATACCCTTGACTTAGCAGAGCATGAGCAGGAGGCAGTCTGGGTCGCCGATGACCATGGATGACCACGTCCATGTTTACCAGGAAAGGAGCCTGGGTAGAGCAAGGAGACCACTGGAAGCATCCACCACAGTGGTTGTTTTCCATTGCTAGACAAGCTGGTCTGCATGGAAGGGAAAGGTTAAGATCCATGAAAAGTTTGAGGGTGGCCTGATACCACACAACATGCACTAGAGTAAAAATTGTAATTCCCAGACAAAAGGCTCTGGAAAGTGGGCTGTAGGCCAGGTCAGCAGGTCCCCTGAGCGGATGGAAGTCAATTGTTCCGCTAATAATTGAAGGAGTAATGGTTATATTTTGAAGGGATCTGCTTAACTCATTCCCTTGAGCTACTTAGGGCTATGATTTATAGGCAGCAAAGTCACTTATGATAATAAAGCCCCCAGGCCTGCTGGCAAACTGCTAAGATTTTTCAAGAAGAAAGGCACCATTTAAACATCTCAATCAGCTTTTCTCAAGTGAATGATGTCCTGAGGAAATGGGTTTCAAATGTGTCTCCATCCTTCACACCCTCAGGAAGAGAGATGAGAGGAATGGAGAAAAACCACAGCAAGGGCTCCTCCATCCATTTCAAGTATTTGACAAGTTCAGAGTCCTGGGTCCTATTTTCAAGAACTACAACTCCCAGCAGGCATAGGGCCCACCATGCTTTCCTTCCTTCTTTCTATAGCTCTTCCTTAATGGAGGAAAATTGGTTCAAATATCAGTTTATTTGAGAGCCTCTAGTCCGTAAAAGGAAGAGTATGTGTCATTTCTTCCTCAGAACCATGGCCAATGAGATTACAGACTTTCTGTTCAAGTTCTTCATTTCCCCAGCAGTAGAACCTCAGAAGTCTGGACATAGCCTTTGTCTGCAGAAGGAGCCTTGGGCTGCCAACAACGCTACTTGTCCCCCAGGTCACAAGCACAGCAGTCATGCACACAACACAAAGTCCCCACACTTGAGAGCAAGAGCTGAAGGAGAAAATCAGTTGTCCTCTATGTTCAAGAAAGAAAACAAATGCTCTGAAACAGAATACAAGAAAACAAAAGGAAGTAATTCATTCTCAGGTAGTCCCATGGATCTCTGTAAACGTGGAGTCTTTATGGAAGTCCCCTTGTGAAGGTTAATTTCATGTGTCAACTTGCCTGGGCTGGGGCTGTCCAAATAGCTGCTAATGCACGATTTCTGGGTGTGTCTGTGGAGATATCTTGGAAGGGATAAGCATCTGAGGGAGCCGAGTAAGAGAGAAGGCTGCTCTCACCAATGGGAGTGGGCACCAACCCATCCCTGAGGGCCTGAAGAAAGCAAAGAAGTGGGAAAGGATGGATTTGTACTGTGTTTGAGCAAGGACATCTGTCTTCTCCTACCCAGAGACTGGCACTCAGGGCCTTCACACTTCACACTTACTCTCTGGGCTCACCTGGTCCTCAGGTGTCAGGCTGGAACCATCCCACCAGCTCTTCTGCGTCTCCATCTTGCAGACAGTAGACGGTAGCACTTCTTGGCCTCCATAATCAAACAAGCCAACCCCTCACTGAGTACATCTACATGTGTCCTTTGGTTTTGTTTCTCTGGAGAACCCGGACTAATCCACCAGGCAGATGAGAAAAGCAAAGCCCATTTGTTCATAGCCTGTTGTAGCACAGACGCCCACCATGATCACTTGCATTCAGCAGTGACTCAAAGGCAGGGGAAGCTTTAAAGCAGGAAAGAGGAAAGGCTTCAGAGATGCTCTGATTGGAGACTTTTGGCACAGGGAACCAATATGAGAATTAACTAGAAGCAGGGCATCCTGGCCAGCAGTGCCTACTTTGCTTTCTGTAGTTAGTGCTAAGTTGAGGCGGGGACAAAATTTAGGAATGCTATTGGTTATTAAAGTCCTGGCTATTTATTGTTTGGCTTTCTGGATTGTTGCTAGAGATAGCAATCCAACTTCCTGCATGTCTGGTGCATAGCAGGCTGGCTTCCTGCACTGTTTATTGTAATTGGGGGACTGGCTGGGGAGGCAGGGCAGATACTGCAGGTTGTGGGCCAGAGCTCTGTCCTTATATGTGGTCTGGCCATTGTCTGTAAGCACATTCAGTCTCTCATTTTCAGATAGACAGACAGCCATCTCTGGGCAGCTGACAGCCAGGAAGCTGATTCCCAGGGCTTCTGGGAGCTGCTTTGGGGCAGCTAATTCCTCTAGGCCTCCTTGCCCAGAGTGCCTCAACAAACAACTGTTTCAGTGAGCACATCCTCAACTCAGTGCACCAAGATGGTAGGCGAGGAAGGGAAGCATAGTGGTTAGGGTAGCAATGGGGCTCTAGGAGAGGAAAGAAACTGCTCTGCAATTCTCAGCCACACTGTCAGATCCTGGGACAGCTTTAAGCTGCCACTCCCTCCTCCCCCAAAGATCCTGACTTAGTAAAGCAGGACTGGAGGTCAGAAGTTTGTCAAACTTGCCAGGTGATTCTGAGATGTTGCCCAGATTGGCAGCTAATAACCAAACCAGAGGAGCAGATGCTTAGCAATCAGTGAGAACAAAACTGGGGCAGGTGGCCCTGAAGTCCTCTATCTTTCAGTCTTGTGATGTTGCGCTGTAGAAGTCGAGAATGCAGAGTGAAGCTAAAGAAGGTAGCAGATCAGCAGAGGCCATGGCCTTCATACGAGGAGCCGCTGCAGCATCCAGACCACGGGGGTAAGAACGAAGGCATGCACTTGAAATCGCCGTGCCGTTCTGAGATAGAACCTAGTCTGGACAGCATCCTTCATTTTTATTTTTAAGCATTAAAACATTTACCCCCTCTTTTAAAATGCATACTGTTCATGAGTACGTATTTTCAATCTATGTTGACACAAGTTTCTCACATTCTTTAAACAGAATTGAATTTTGACCATATAAACTCTAAAACCTCAAAAAAATCACACTCTCCACATGCTTAGTATTTTTTTTTAATTTTTAGTCTATTTAAATTTCAAATGTACCAGTTTAATGTGCGTTGATACAATACCACCCCCTGGCGGACAGCTGTAGGAAGGCTTCTGTGCGTGATTTAACTTCAGAATTTTAATGCCATTTAATATACTGGTGTCTCCACATCCCCAGCTGAATGTCCTCTTCAAATAAAATCACAGAAAAAGCTCAAAAAACAAAGAAAAAAAAAACAAGCTGGGCTGGGAACTTTGCCTTCCCCAGGATGTCCAAAATAGAATTACTGCCAAACATGTCATCTCTCCCAAATTAAAATAGAGTACATTTCTTCTTCAGCGCTCTTACTTCAATGAATACCATCTCCTTTCCCACCCACCCAGCTAAAAACCCTCCTGAGAGTTCACTATGCATAAACATTTCAAAGGCTCTACAAAAACCTAAGCCAATAAGCCAGGTTTAATTCATTTAACTCTGCAATTCCTAGACTCATTTTGTCATGAAACACAAACCCCTCCTGTTCAGTACTGCTTAGCAACCTGCAGAGCACTTTTTGGTAATATGTCATTCAGAGTGGTTGTTCCATCTCACTCAGCAGATTAGCTCTTTGGCTGCTTACACTGTTCAGTCTTCAAAAGTGCTGAGGCAAAGTCAGCTCCCAATCACTTGCATAATAAAACATACAACCCTGAGAGGATGGACCCTAGACAGCTACTGGATAGATGCCACATCCACAGGGAGCTCCGTCTCTGTCTTCTACCATCATCACCAGCTGTGGGGAGGAAGCCATCCCACTAACAATAGAAGTGATCTTGCTTTGCTTTCGATTAAGTCTGCATTGCGTAATCACCATTGATTTTATCCGAGGAGTTATAATGATCATCTGGCTATAACCTAAGCAGGTCATACACAACTCTGCAGCTGACAGTGATTTAAGTGTTTGCCATATGTTAGCTCCTCTCTCAAATTTATGAGCCAAAAAGTATTGAAACTTTATAGCTTTCAACACTTGTGTAAATCAGCATAGACCCTCAGACACCAGATCCAAAGAAAATATTACTGTATATCACCAGCATTTTCAACAAAAATATGGCTTCATGCCCTATGATGTTAGTCTAGACTTCCTAAGCAGGCTAATACATATTGCATCATTTCTCATTTAGAAAACAAAGAATATCTAATTAAATTTTCATGGAATAGAAAAATTATTTGAACCTGTTTTGCAGCTTAAAGTGTGCTTTCATCAACAGCATCTGGGGCTGTGAGCTGTCTTCACATGTCACCTACAGCTTTGATGTCAGAGCTGGGGTCCTGAGGGCTTGAACACACTCATTCACCAGCCTGACAGCCTCCAGGGCAGAGCCCCAGTGCACTGAGATGCCCCTGCTCCCATGGCCATAGTGGTGGACTATGGGCAGCCTCCATCCATCTCTGGCCAGGACCTCTTTCTGCAGCCGCACGCTTGGTCTGTCGGGCCTCAAGCCTACTCTCTCCTTCATGCTGCAGGCCCTGTGCAGGGAGGGCTCCAGAGTGCAACATCTGGAAAAAATATCCCTGCTAGTTTCTGCATCCGGAGACAAATTCCAGTCTCCTTTTTGCCTAGTTCCACCCAAGGTGGCATGGGACGCACCAGGGTAAATATACGTCAGCCCACTCCCATCCCGGATAAAGTGCTTCAGCCAGGGGGCTTGCACTTGGAGTACTTGGCCCCTCACAGGGGAAACGGCTGAGTCTTCCACAAGCTCTCGGCTTCCCAGGCCCGAACAGTTGACCATGATGTCGAAGGACAGCCGGAGCTCCCACACATCTTCTATCCGCCTGCGGAGAAGCAGGCCTCCTCAGCCTGGGGATGAAAGACCACTGGGTGACACCTGGTAGCACCTACCCAACCACTCAAGGGAAGTGAAGGACAGGAACACAGGAGCAACATAGAGGGGATCTGACAAACAAACCCCTCGAGAGCTTCCAAGGCCCAGGCAGATCAAATGCCACCCAGCACCTGCCTCATGTCCTCAGAAACCAAAAGTTGACCCTAAATGGAGCTTACAGCATTTTGGAAACCCAAAACAAAGGAAATTGTGTGCTTTTTTTTTTTTTAACTTTTTTGTGATGTTCCTATGTTTTTCTAGATGCATAATAAATATGAAATTGATCTGGTACTTTAAATGCCCGAGCATTTTTAAAAATACCATTCATTTAACACCCCAATTTACTGCTGTGGGCATTTTGTCACACTGGAAACTCTCTCTCTCTCTCTCTCTTTCTCAGGAATTGAACTCAGGGCCTCAAGCTTGCCAGGCAGGTGCTGTGCTGCTGAGTTACAGCTCCAGCCTGACACTGGTAACTCTTGCATGTTTTTCTGCATCTGTCTGCTCTCCTTAACTAGAAGGTCGGTGCAGGTGCTGCCCCTTCCCCTTTACTAGACTGTTAGCAAAAGAGGAACACAAAATATTTACAACCGATGGGCTAAATGACAGTTGTGGTTGGTAATTATTTTGGACCAAGTATATGCATACTGAAAAAGTCATTTAAGTCTTAAGATCATTTTTTAAATTGTGGTTAAAAAACATGAAACCTGAAACCATTTGATCATTTTTCAGTGTACAGTTCAGTGACACTGAACACATTCACACCGCTGTGCAGCCATCTCCACCCCTTCAGAACATTTTCCATCATGCAGAATGGAAACTCAGTAGCCATGTCATCCTCACCCATGTAACCTACAGTCATACTCACGGGTCACTTGGGAGCATGAAAGACTTTTAGAGGTTCTATCCAATAGATGCAGGCCTAAGGCCTAGACATAGGGCACCGCTACGAGGGACAAAACCTGTGTGAGAGGCATCGAAGGCTGACAGAGGAACTGGGGACAACATTAGTGGCTGGCAGGGTAAGTACACTGTAAACATGTGTGTGTGCATGTGTGTGTTTTTGTATTCTACCTGCCCCGAGAGAGCAGGAGCAGTCAGGCCAGCAGTTCTGAGCCCCACACAGAGGCCTCATGAGAAGAAAAAAAGACAGAAACCTCAGGAGCCCAGCAAGACATGGCTGAGAAGATGGTAAATGAGGGTCCGGTTTGGTCTCTGATGTTAACTTAGAGAAAAAGGGCTCTGAAGTTATTCTAATTCTCTATCTCCATCTCCTAGTCAGAAAGTTCAGCTGAAATTTGTATTGAGAGTTGTAGGAAATGGACTTCCTGATACTCCCTTTCTAGAAAATTCCACAGGTCAAGGAGAGTAGAAGAGACCAACATTGCTGCTTAAGTGCATCACAGAACAGACCTGAACCCCCACAGATTGACTTCTGATCTGTAAAATAGATGTTTGCATTGATTTGTTTCTTTGTTTAGTCATTTATTTATTGTACTTGGGATTGAATCCAGGGCCGTTGCACTGAGCTACAGGCCCAGCCCTTTTACATTTTTTTCTTTTGAAACAGGATCTTGTCACGTAGCCCAGGTTGGGCTCGAATTTGAGATCCTCTTGCCTCGCTTCCCAGAGTGCTGGGATGATAGGCATGTGCCTCCATGCCCGGTTAAATTAGCAAATTTATCATGGAGTTCTAGTTTCTCTACAGCTAAGTCAGGGTGAGCTGCTGACCAGTCTCCATCTCTCTCCACGCACCCTTCCTCCACAGAGACTCTGAAGCAACTCCGGTGTGAGCAGTGTGAAGAACAGCTGGAAACCTCTGGGTTAAATTCCTGTGTTCACTCAACAAATGTTCACAGAGGGTCTCCCTGGGAACATCCTGGGCTAGGCTGGGAGAACTCAGAGGCTACCTCTTGCTCCACAGTGATCTCAGCTTGCTGTGTGCTTACCATGAAGCACGAATGGGCCTTTCAAGCACCATGTCCCAAAGTAATAGAACAGAAGTTCTGGGTATGGGCGCTTTCACCCTGCATATCCTTGCTTGTTATTCTGAAAATCCATGGAAAACAATGTGCCCTTTACCAAGATCAGAAAACCAAAGCAAAGAATCTGCAAACATCCATCCCTTGGGGCCACAGAGAATGAAGGAAGCCTTCAGCGTAACTAATAGCGGCTAAAAGAGACAGAATGAAGCTGGGGCTCTCTCTCTCTCTCTCTCTTTCTCTCTCTCTCTCTTCCTCCCTCCATCCCTCCTTCCCTCCCTCCCTCCCTTTCTCAAAACAGCTCAAACATAAAAAGCAGTATAGCAAATTTTACAAGCACAAGTTCTCCACTCTCTTATTGAAACAATAAAGTTGACAGCTTCGACTATGTTTTTTAGATGTACAATGATAGATGAGTCCCCTTAAAGGTAAAATAGCTCTGCAAATTATTTTGTTTTGCTTTGATTTATGCGTCCCCTAAGGTAAAATAGCTCTGCAAATTATTTTGTTTTGCTTTGATTTTCTTAACACTGGCATAGAAAGGAGAGTAGATTGGAAGCTGGGTGTGGTGGCACACATCTATAATCCCAGCACTCTGGAGAGCAAGATGAAATGATGGCAGGTTTCAGGACAGCCTGAGTTGCACAGTGAGACCCTTTCAAAGAAGAAGAGGGAGAAGGAGGAGGAGGAGAACAGGGAAGGGGAAGGGGAGGAGGGAGAGGAAGAGGAGACTGTAATTGTGTGATTACACAGACCAACACACTGCAGTGTGGCTCTAACCTTTAATGAAGTAAACACCAAAAGGAGACTTTCAGGTAGGGTTTAGGGGGCCTCTCTCTGACTCTTCATATGGCCTTGCCAAGTTCTCCAACTTCTCTATAAGCTTTAGTCCTTCTTCACCTCTAATGGGGGAAGATTAACGCTGACTTTATAGGTCATCATGAAAATGAAATGAGAAGATGTCTGGAAAAGATCTGACACAATGCATAACACACTGCAGTTGTTCATTAAAGATTTGTTTTTTTTGGTACCAGGGATCGAACCCAGGTCCTTGTGCTTGCGAGGCCGGAGGCGGAACCACTGAGCTAAATCCCCGGCCCTTGTTAAAGTTGTTTTCAAAAAAGAAAAATAAAGTGGGTTGGAGTGTCTTACACTACTGTGAAATATGGGAGCCACTATACCACCTGTGAATGTGCCTGGCCTCCACACCTGAATATTACTTGGGTTTAATGAAGTATGACATTTGGATTTTAAAAGTTTTTTGTTGATCATTATTTAAACATTACGTTGATTTGTTTTTTCTTTTAATGGACAATGGGTTCCACTTACGAACATTTGAACATTATGTTCTGTGCTCCAGGCATCTCAATTAGAACTCAGAATTATTTTCCTAATTCACAGAAATCAGAGGACTTACCAGGCTTGAGACGTAAGCACATTTTACAAATTTGCTGGACTTGTTTCCTTAACTAAAACCTAGGGAAAAGAGTGCCTGGCTCATGCATCTGTTTTGATGATTATGTAAGCATTCAGTAAATGCAAATGTTTTTCCTTTCCACTTCCATGGCCCCCTGCTGAAGCTACTGGGAAGTGCAGCCTGTAACTGGAGACTAAGGCAGGGGTCACGGATGGGCTGTGGGCGGCCCCGCCAAACTAGCCATCCTGGCTCCCTCCCGAGCCTTGTACCCCAGGAGGAACCTAGTAAATGTGCCCCAGGACTGGCCGCCTTTGCGCCCCAGCCCTGTGACTGCAGGGCAGTGCCTTGTCATTAGTATACACCTCCTGGCATCACGATGACTCCAGGGCATAGGAAGTTGTACCCAAAAGCTGATATCAACTTAGGTGACAGGTACCTGAAAGGTGGCTATTGCACCCTTGTGAGGTAGCAGCTATTCTGGAAGTTTTAAGGGGCTTTGATAACGGTCCTTTTGGGGCTTCCTGAAAATGACCAAGATTTTATCCTGGAGAGAAAGAATACCATTGCTCCAACCACCTACGAAGCAAGAGGACCTCTGCTCACTAAATAGTCCTGGCCCAACGTCTTGGGATCATTGCTCTGAAATGTAAAAATGCCCATTCTGCCAACCCTAACAGCCAGCCCCCCGCTGGACTGACCAACCTGATCATACACACTGGAGATGGTGGTCTTTGGGGCTCTTCCTTCAACTCACTGGGAGTTTCAGCAAGGAAGGAAATTGAGCTGGCTATAATCACTGTTCCATTGCTCTCTCCTCTCCCCCTCTCCTCCTCCTTCCCTTCCCTTCCCTCCCTCTCTTCAACCTCTCTCCCTCCCTCCCTCTCTCCCCACTTCCCACCTCAAATCCCTCGTGCTCTCGGGATTACAGACAATTTCCACCACGGCAACACTGAAGAGGAGGCCTGCATGTTGTGGATACGCTGTCCAGGCAGCCCTGGGACGGTGGGTACTGCCTGAGGGAGCAGGGGCCTTAGAGCCTGCGAGTGGGAGGACAGGGCAGGAAGGAGGGACACAGAAGGGGCACGGACATGACACAGATAAACCCACAGAGCCAACATAGTGCCCTGGAACCCACGGGTCTGGGACCCAACCGCTGAAATTTAGACCCTTAATTGTTTAGGGAACTTAATGAACAGAAACTAGATTTTTTTTTTCCTTTGGTCACTTAAAATTGCTGAGTGGTTCGTAATGTGAGAAAAGAGAGACATTTTAATATTCCTTTGAGACAGAGTATACCTTACTGGAGAATATTATCCAAAGAGCCTCTGGGTTATGCAAAGACAGGGGAAACTCCCTTCTGGGGACCTCAGCCCACACTGCATGAGAAGATCGGATCCTGTATGAGCTGCTTCTCACACACCAGGTGCTTTGGATGCAGTTCTACGGCCCAGCAGGAAGAAGGAGGGGTGGCACTGTATCCATCCTACACTGGGGTCCCAGGCCCCCTCAGGGTCCCCCCTCAGGGACCAGGATTTGAGGCTCAGGGCACTGATTCTGAGAGGACTGGGGAGCTCAAGTCCAGCAGGGCTGCCTGAGAGCCGGGGACTCAGAGCTGGGAAGCAGATATTTCTCCCCACTGCCTATGGTGCCTGCTTAACTCTGAGCCCAGAAAGGTGGGACAGTCCAAAGCGGGGTCGCTGTCCTAAAGTTAGCTGGGGTGAGAAAACTAGGAGCCTTTGCATCGCTGTGTGAAGACAGACGGGAAAGGCAGGGTGGCCTCCGAGAGATGCTGGGTGGAAATACTTTATTAGGCAGAGCAGTTTTGCAATGTGTTATGCAAGCATGAGGAGACGTCATCAGTTTTTAAAATTACTCCTTGCTTTCAATCTGAAGCATGATGCCTTATTAACAGTGGTCAGAGAAATGAACTGTGTTCAGTGTGTCCAAAAACAAGAAAGAAAACTAATCTCACTTGGCAAGCAGTGCTATGTACACAGACTTACAGGGGAAAAGAATTGCTGTCTCTTCGTGGTGACACTTTACACTACTGTCCCCACTGTAACATCATAGAATTTAAAAGTGCATTTTAGGTTTATAAGGCAATTAAGCAAATAGACTCTAATTTTAACCTGAAAATGTTGTCTCATCCGACCATTGTAGTCCTCAATTGCTGCCTTGCAAAGGAAATAAACTGCATTTACCTGGCAGAGTGGTGTATACCTGAAATCCTGGCTACTAGGAAGGCTGAGTCAGGAGGTTTGCAAGTTCTAGGCCAGCCTACACAATTTAACAGGGCTATACCTAAAAGTAATAACAATAATGAAAGGACTGAGGGTGTAACTCAGCTGCAGGGCACTTGCCTAGCATGTGTGCGCCAGTGAGTTCAATCACTACTACCACGACAATAATAATAATAATAATAATATTTTAAAAAATAACCACATTCTATTTCACACTTCTCCA